AGAAAAAGCCTCTTTTTATTTGATGAATTCATTAGATTTAAGCCACAATTAAACCATAACAATAACTGCTTCTTTTGTATTTATTTCTCTTCTTATTTGCTAGCCTTATGGTATTGGCTCAGACTTGGAGAAGGCATATAGGTCCACAGACATCAGCAATGATATTGCTCTTTGATAGATTTCTTGAGCATTCAGTAGGAAATAACTGTCAAGCATCTAGATTTCATTTTACTTTTTGGTCTCAAGAATAGGAATTTGGAGCTTGCTGCCATGGAAACAAATTATTATGCTAGCCAGTTCTTTTGCAGTCTTTCCTCTAAAGACCTTACTGATTCTCTCGAAGGTCAAGCAGTAAAAAAGAGGTAGATGCAATGCAGATTAATTTTCTATCTTTATTAAGGTGGAAATTCTACCAAAGTCATTAATGAATGAGAAGCAATATTAATAACTATGCTCTCTGATTTGGGGATTAAAAGTACCATATTGTGGTTGTCATTACAATTGTTTATTTTCTTGAACCATGCACAGGGTGAAAAGAGTGCAAGGGATTTATTCCTTCACAAAATATTCAAACTACATCTAGGAAATGTTTTGATTTTTGTACTTTATTTTTTTTCCTGTGATTTTATTGTTCATGGAGTCTGTCCTAGATTGACAGCATAGTAACTGAATTACTTAGTTGGTAATGGGTGTATCTTGTGTTAATGGTAATTTAAAAAATATGGACACCAGTACCACGAACTGGACCAAATCAAGTTCACAACATCCAACAAAAGTCAAGCAAGTGGTAATAACTCTTCAGTTTTATTGACCTAGAATGGTAATGCTTTTGAATCAAGTACTTTAAGCAGGCTCCTGCCACCTTCCTATACAGCCTTTTTTATTTAATTAGGAGTTGTAAAACAATAACTGCAAGGCAGCTGTCCAAGCATTCTGACCACCTGTAATCTAACAATTGGTTAAATCTATCAAAAAGAAAAATAGGAACATATTAATTGACAAGTTTTTGAAATTCAGAATAGGCATGAACAAAAAATGAATGTAAAAGGATAAGGATTTTCAAGTTTCTCCCAATTCCTCTCTGCATCTCTCCTATGACATACATACTTTGGCACACATATTCTTCAAAATGGTCTGTAAATGATCACAGTACATCAACCTGGGTGGTCAGCAAGGAGCAAAGATGATTTACGTGAGAGCACTGGCACAGCTACTTCAACTCCAAGCCTCAGTGTGACAGAACACCCTTGGTGCCTGCCACTTTAAGGGCTTAGAGCAGATAATAGGGTGGCCGGCAGGCGTGGGCCAGCCCTGATGAGGCAGTCACATGACTGAAAGAGGGCCATGTGATTGAAGGGGGGGCTGAGTAGCCTCCATTTTAACTCATACCCTCAGAGATAAGCCAACAGTTTCCTGGCTGCAGCTGTGGAGAGAACACCACCCAGCTGGATCTGCTGCTCACAACATCTTGGAGGTATATGGGAAGGAGCTATGGGGAAGGAGGTCCTGGGCATGATCAAAAACTACATTCTGCTGGGCCAGGATAGTCTGGTGGGGCTGCCCATGGCAGGGTAGTCTTGAGAAATGCCAGGCCAGTTACCTCCCCAGTGAAAGGTGAGTAAGGGGCACCTTATAACCCCAGCCCCCACGGCCTTGTGGATTGAGAGAGCCCTGAGCTGAGTGGGTATTGACAGGTCTGCAGCTTGAGCATCTGAGAGCCCAGCAAAGGGGCAGAGGAGTGTGAGGGAGAGAAGGCAAGTCACTAGCCAACTTAACTGGATGGACCCTCAACTGGTCAATGCTGGGGCCAGGACCAGAATGGTTAAAAGGGCCAGGGGCCCACCGCAAGGGATGCCCAGAGCCAGGGGCATGGGGTTCTGATTGGGCTGGAAGGTGAGGCCAGGGCCAGCATAGCCAAAGGTCCTGGGGCACCATACCTTAGAGAGAGAAGGGTACAGAAGAACTTGGCTGCCTAAGAAGGCTGGGGATTAGGCCTTGGGTGCCATCTGCGAGGCATGCAACATGGTATAGGGGAGGTTGGATCCATGTACATAGGCCCTAGGCATCAGGACAAGTAAATGAGCAGCCTCCCACCTGATTGACATCTCATAATCATTATCATCAAGGCATGGCAAGCAAGCAAGGTGGGTGGTTAGCCTGGAGACAAGTGGGCGGGTGTAACAGGGAACCCTAGCCCTGTTACTAGGAAGCATAGCAGCCCCTTTTAAGACCAGAGTCTTCAGAGCATGGCCTGCTAGCAGAGCAGGGGTTAAAGGGTAGCTCTGCAGGCTGGTCAGCTGACTGGGGTGATCACATGACTACATGAGAGCTCAGGCCAGAACTATACAAGCCCTGGGCTGAGCCAGCCAAGGGGCCAGCTCAGGCTGTGGCAGAGTGTAGACTCCTGAAGTCGCCAGGATACTGAAGCAGCCCTGCCAGTGAGAACACCAGGCTGAATGACCCAGAGATGTGGAGCCAGGGGTAAGCAGGCTAATTGCCTGTATTTGTTTTGTTAAAGCCCAGGAGCTTAGTGTTTATGTTATAGTTTAATCTGGTGGTTTCTGGTTGAGGATGTAGGGGAGGTGGAGGCCTCATTAGTACCCACAGAGGTGCAGTTACAGGGGCCAGAGAGAGCTCAGCACCACAGAGCTGCATCTACAGTGGCCAGAGGGCCTGGTGGCACAGGGAACTCATCCACAGAGGGCCAGGGGCCCAGAGCAGATTGACTGAAGCTAGTGCCTCAAAGCTGGGCCCAACTGTCAGTCTGAGCTGTGTTGGTTAGGACCCCAACAGAGTGGACAAAGGATGCAGATAACACCCATGAAGCATGGGGCACAGTAAAGGGGTGGTATGGAGCTCTGCAAACAGCCCTTAGGGGCAGAAGCTCCTCACCTGCAGGTGTTTGAGAGCGAAGACCAGATCTGGGAAACCCTGGGGCAGCCTCTTTTTTAAGAACCCAAAGAAACATCAATATGTGGACAGGCGAGTGAAGGGGAGTTTGTTTCCAGAAGTTACTAAAAAAAAAAAAAAAAAAAAAGGACTTTGGGATGCCTCCAGGCATTCTCAAATGACTCTGGGGATGGAACCCTGTTACAGCGGGCCAACGACTGACTGGCCCCAGGATGCCCACCTGTTACACTCAGGTTGTAAAGACCTAGGATCATCAGTTAATACTCTTTCTCCAACCCCATTCTTTGTTATATAAGTAATAGGTTCCTAGGGGCAGAGGGGATCTGTTTAAGGTCTAGAGCAGGGATTTCCAAACTTTGGTATGTGTAGCCATGGGGGTATGCAAGGCATTTCTGCGTGGTATGCAGGATAAATTGTGTAAGGGTGGATTTAATTTTAATTATAATTATAAATGGCATTTAGGGGATTAAAATATAAAATGTGTGCTGGTAGGGATTATGCAGGCAGCTAGTAAATCTGGAAGGGGTACTCAATAAAAAAAAAAAAAGTTGGGAACTTCTGATCTAGAGCACAGGTGGGCAGATGGTGACCAGAATGCCAGTGGACAAATGTTGGACCTCTTAATCTGTAACAGTGACATTGAGGTACTCACCACAAAGAGCTGTTCCTGGCAATTCTACCTGTCTCTCATATCTCTCATTGGTAATGAGACAGCTCAGTTGGTTCAGTTTAATAAAAAAGATATAGTTGTAAATACAATGTTTTAAATCAACACAGGGCATTTTGGGCATCTATAGACATGGTCCAGGAGTGAGGGGTGGAGGGAGGAGATTTTTTAATTAAAGAGGCTCCAAGAGCTGCTTTAATAAAAGCGCCCAGAGTGTCACTTGTATCAGCATCCCTGCACTGAAAAATGGTAGCAGAGGTGCTTTAACTAAAGCTCGTTGAATGAACTTTAGTTAAAGTGCCTTGTGGCAGAGCACCTCTGGTGCCTGCCACCTTAAAGGCTGCGAGCAGCCCAGCTCTGATGAGGCCAGCTCTGACGAGGTGGTCACATGACTGCAGGAGGACCAAAGGATTGGAGGGTAGGGCTGAGTGGCCTCCATTTTAGCTCAGGCCCTCAGGGCTGAGCCAGCAGTCTGCTGCTGGCAACTGGAAGAAAACAACCAAGCTGAGCTGCAGGTTAGAACTTTTTTGCAGGTAAGGGCAGGAGCTATGGGGATGGCAGGAGGCTCCTGGTCCTGGGTATGACTGAAAAATGCACCTGCTGGGGAAAGGTGGCCTGTTGGGACTGCCCGAGGCAGGGTAGTTCCCCAGAAATGCCAGGCCAGTTGCCTCCCCAGCATAGGTAGTGGAGGGGGGGAGGGCACTAATGGGGCATAACCCCTCCAAAGGCATGGCAGTGTTAGGGCTGCAAGGCAGCCCAGCCGCAGGCTTCCGGCAGCTGCAGCAGGGGTGGGGAGGGGTGCACAGGCAGTGGTGAGGGAGGGAATGGAGTTTGGGCTGGGGCTGGGACAGGCACTGCACAGCTGGCAGGGCAAGGGATGGAGCTGCCAGTGGCTTGTCCAGGGGGCGCAGCTCCTGCTGCACTCTGGGAGGCATGGGGGTGTGTGTGCCCCTGGATCTCTGTGGGGTAGGGCAGGCTGCAGCTATGGGCTGGGGCTGCGTTGGGTTCTTCCTGGCGGAGGGGGCTAGGCCAGGCTGTGCTTGAGGCGGGCAGTGCTGGGAGGGGGCTACAGCCACCCCAAAATTCACTGTAGCTCCCCAAGCCTCCCCCCCAGCAGCACTAGTGCCTGCCGCAAGTGCAGCCCAGCCCAGCCCCTGTTGCTGGGAACACCCTGGCACATCCCTAGCCCTGTCTCCAGCCTGCAGTGGCAGCATGCCCTGCCCCATGCAGATCCACCATGTGGCCTCCTGGGGCCTGTGCAGCTGTGAGAGCTGCCACCCCCTTCCCATGCCCCCTTGATGACCTGTGGCTCCATCCTGCACCTTGCCCCTTCCCTCATAGACTTACCTGTGTGTGCTTAGCCCCTTCACAATTTTTTTCTTCCTCCACTTATGTTCCCTAGTGAAAAGTGCATAGGGGCACCTTATAACCCCAGCTCTTACTACCTAGTGGGTATTTTAAGATCAGAATGTGAGAAAATGGGGGTCAGGCACATCTGCAAGCACCTGAGCCTGTGGAGTGTAGGACCCCGAGGCCCAGTGAGGGGGCAGAAAGGGGCCACAGTGAGAAATGAAAGAGCGTATGGAGGCCCACAAAGAGTAGGGTGCATGGTGGCTCATGAAGGGCTGTGTGTTTGGGTGTAGAGTAGGGTCTGCACAGGCAGACCTGAAGGGCTACACTGGGTATGTGCAGAGTAGGGTTGCTTGGGCAACCTGAAGGGCTGTACAAGAGCCAACCCCCACTAGAATGAGAATTTGGATGAATTGCCTAGTGAGGGTTTGTGGGCAGAGTTCAGCCCAGTGTGAGGTATAAGGCCAGTGCCATGTAGAGTAGGTTTGCTTGAGTGACCTGAAGGTCTGCATAGGGACTGGCTGAAGTGCAAGTAGATAAACCTGATGGCCAAAGTGGGCTGCTCATAGAGCAGGGTGGGTTGAGAGTGGCCCAGTGAGGGGCAGAGTGAATGATACCCAGTGAGAGGGGGTGGAGTGAATGGGGGCCTGGGAGAAGGGGTAGTGTGAGAGTAGAATGTGAGAGGCCCAGCAAGAGGTAGACTTTGGCCTGGTTTCAGGCCGGAGTTATAAACGACTTATGATGCCATCTGCAAGGCATGGGACACAGTATAGAGAGGTCAGAGCCGTGTATATTGCCTCAGGCATTGGGGCTTTAAATGTGCAGCCTCCCACATTTTTACATCAAGTGTATTAACCAGCAAGTCATGGCAGGCAAGGTAGGGCAGACTGCCCTAGGCAGGTGGGCAGGCTGACATTGAGACCTGGTCCTGAGTAGGTCCCCTGTCACATGCCCCCACTGCCATTTTTTAGTGCAGGGATGCTGATACACATGATGCTGGAGTCTGCCAGAGCGTGATAATTACCATGCTCAAACAGACTCGATTAATTGAGTCTGCTCCAATGCACTGTAATCATAGCACATCAGAGCAGCCTCCCTGCATGTGTATAGACTGCCATGCTTTTATTGGTGCCAGTAGCAGATGGCTTCAGTAACATTCAGTTTAGTTTGTGTAGCTCCTAATTTCTATATAGGGATATAGGACTCCAAAATCGGGTCACATTAGAAAAGGGAGGCCACTAAGTTTTGTGGTATGCAGTTTGAGACTTCCTACGGGCTCTGTTAGAATGTTTGTCAGTTTAAAATCTTAGGTTCCCAAAATCACTAGAGAATATTTACATCATAATATTCTACCCAGAGAGGAGATTTTTTGGTGTTAATATATTCTGTTATAACTTGCTAACTCATATGTTTTATAATACTAATGTAGCAAAGACTTATATTATTAGAACTTCATTACTTTTATTAAATGTAATAAATTACATTTGCTATGACCTTGTCTTAATTACAGTTGAACTACAGTGGTCTAAGTACATTAACAGAGTAAAATGGATGCATTTTACAAGAAAAATGATCAGAAGCTATACTGCAGTCCAGTAAAGACCATATTTTTGGGGGTATGGTGCTTTTGTGGAGGACCCTTTTTCGTTATAGATTGATTATGATTACATTATTGATTATGATTGGCTAGTTTGCACTCCTGTCTAATGACAGAAACACTGTACCAAGATGTGGATCTTGATTTTTGCTTTGAGCACAGTAGGGTCAAGCTCAGTTTGCCTATTGGTGTACTTATTTTGTCAACCGAGAACATTGTTTCTAGACCTTGAGGTTAGGGACAGACATTACGCATAAACCTGCTTAAGTGATCAGAAACTGGTTTAAACCTGTAACAGAACAGACGTTCAGTGTACATAAACCAGTTTGAAAATGGCTGAAACCGGTTTGAGATAAACCTGGTTGAATGTAGTATCAGACTTAACTGATTTGGTTCAAATTGGTTTGTGCAATGTCTTTCCCAGAACCCTTGCTGGTTTAAGTTAAATCAGACTCCCCCAGTATCCTGGCATGCTCTCTGGGCTGGGCGGGACTCTCTGCTCCACAGCAGAACTGGCCCCTCCCCTCTGCCACCTGGCTAGAGCTCAGCAGAGAGTACAGGTGTCTGCCTGGGTTCCCTCTGCTCTTCCCACCCCCGCCTCCCTGTTAAGCAGGCCGCTGCCTTACACCTTGTAGCATTAGCTAGCAGACCATGTGCTGTGGCAGTTGGGACAAAGTTAGAATCAACAGGCAGCTGGTGATATCCCTCTGTTGTTTTCTTAGTGGGGTGATAAACACTGAATGAATTCCCTGCTGGGCTGAGGGGAACTTGTCCCTAATCAGAGCATCCTGATGGCTTAGCACTGTGGAAGGGAAGGGCGGACTGCTCT